GCTGCTGCTGCTGCTGCTAGTCGTAGTAGTAGTAGTAGTAGTAGTAGTAGTAGTAGTAGGTAGTAGTTAGTAGTAGGTAGTAGTAGGTAGTAGTAGGTAGTAGTGGTAGTGGTAGTGGTAGTGGTAGTGGTAGTGGTAGTGGTAGTAGTAGTAGTAGTAGTAGTAGTAGTAGTAGTAGTAGTAAATAACCTTTTGACTGCTAGATTAAAGGAGCAGAAGGGATGTAAGGCTGGCTCGTGAACCTGCCTTAACGCCTACATTGTATTTGGTTTGATCTGTACACATTGCTTCTTCGATGTCTTTCTTTGGGCTAACACGAGTCATTGGCACACGATTGGGTCACCTGCTCTGTCTGTATTGGTTCGTCACTGGAGGCCACTGTCGTTCGGAGTCTTCGATTTCATCACTCAGACGCGAAGTCACTCCTACACCCATACATGCAGTCTGCCTTCATTCCAAACCCTTTCCAGCATTAGGTCTTACGAACTGCACCCTCTCGCTTTCGGCTTGTCATCCTTGCGAACAGTCTCATTCTTCGCCATACTCTGGTCATTGTATCTCTTGTTATGAGCGGCATTAGCCATCGGCGATTCGTGAACGTGGGCGATGCCTGCTAATCGGGCGAGGCTGGGCTTTACGGCTTCGCACCATCAAGCGCTTCGAGGCTGCAAAGATCGAGTTTTCGGGAAGTTCAGGCTCGGAAGTACGGGCAAAGATTCACGACACTGGAACGGGCTACCGTGCCAAAGTTTGGACGAACAGGCGAAGAGTGGCCGGACAGAAACAACAAACGACACATCTTCCGAAACCTGATTGCAGTGACCAAATCGGCACAAGAATTCCAGTCAACACTACCTGGCCACCACCTCGTCATCAACAAGCTCCGGACACCACCACAACAGAGTGACAACATCAAGGCAAACGAAGCAACAAAAAAAAAGAAACACATCCCCCGATCGACTGAGCATTGTATCGCAGCCAATATCGTTGCGGAGTACTGCTCGGGTAGTTCAACGGATGTTGCATTGACAGGAGCTGCCTCAAGGAGACGACAATACATCGAGATTCGAGATACCCTGCTTCGAGAGAATCTCGGCGGGGGCCTGGCCTGATCTGAAACAAAAGCCGGAAAGGCTTGGAAACGGACACCATCACACAAACGCCAAAATCAGGACGTGGCCAAAACTCTTGGGCATCTCGGCCGGAAGTCATATGACCTCGCAACCAGCCCTACGCGAATCTACGGCACCGAATTGAGCAAGGACGTGTAGTCTAGATCGAGTCGCAGCAGCCCAGGCGCGTGCCATCAGGGGCCGGGCAGCAAGCACCGGTAAGGTTGAGAGTCACGCACGCAGGAAAGGACGAGCACTCGGTCCCAGCGGCGATCTTCGGAGCTGCGATGACGGGTGCAAATCCCATGCAGCAGCCAAGTGCCACGCTATCGTCGTTGGGGCAGCAATTCCCCTCCTCGATTCCGAGAGCAACACAAGCAGGGTACTTTGCGCACGTGGTGCCGTTGATGCCTGCCACGGGCGCCACGGTGGGAACTGGAGCAAGTGCTGGGGTCTCAACACTTGCCTTCACCTCCTCTTCTTCCATGTCAGTGCCAGCATCGCTCTCCACGGCTGGCGGCTTCTCCCCGCAGTATGGTGGTCCGGATACTGTCTCTGCGTGCTTCTCCGGGGCAGGTGAAGCAACTGATGACTCATCTGTCAGGAGGCAGCCTCCATCAGGCCAGAAGGTGAAGTGGGCACAACCGTCAACCGACAAGCAACGCTGCTGGCAAGCCTCCAATGTCATCTCACTGGTCCTCTCTGTTCCATCCATCTTGATTGGGCTCTTGTAGTAGGTAGCGGCCTCGAAGCAGCCTGCATTTTCCTCCAAGACCACGAAGGCATCCGACTTGCTGCGGAGGCCACGTGCTCCGCCGCGAGCCAAGATGCCCACCGTCACGAGCCCCACGCAGCCGAGTACCAAGGCCACGCGACGCGGGAAGGCAAAGCGGTGCTCCGGGCGCTCCGCCTCCAGCAGGAGCTCCACATCCGAACCGGTGCTGGCCATGACTGCGAGATGTAAGAAGAGGAAAATGCACACGATCTGTCCTCAAGCACCTTGAGCCATTCATCAGGGTTTGGGCCGCGAGCGTATACAATGAGATGAGCTCGACTTCTACGAACAAATCCAAGACCCTCAGTGGCCAAGCGTCTGCAGCGGAGGCTTCACCGGGGAAGATGCGGGGGTCTGCCAAAACAGGTGCGCTTGAAGCTTAAGGCTGGAGAATTGCGTCTCAGGGTTTCGAGTCTTCGGGCCTGACTGATTACAACTCAGGGGTTTAGGGTTTAGGGTTTAGGACTTTAATGCATCGTTGTGCTGAAGAAACATCAGGCTCCCTTTTAGGGTCCTTTTTTGTTAAGCTCCCCTTGGAGGGTCCTCCTTTCCTCCTTTTCAGGCGGTTCCCTTTTTAAAAGGGTGCCCGTAGTATTTTGGGGGACCCGAAACCCTAAACCCTAAACCCGAAACCCCAAACCCTAAACCCTAAACCCCAAACCCTAAACCCTCAACCCTCAACCCTAAACCCTAAACCCTAACCCGCACACAGAATTGTGGGGGACCGACAAAAAGGGACCCATCTCCAGCTCGAACACCCCGAGTGCTACAGCAGCTCTCAGGGCTCCAAAACACCTCTGGCGGTACATGATACGGTTTAGGGCTTAGGGGTTAGGGTTTCGGGTTTAGGGTTTAGGGTTTCGGGTTTAGGGGTTTAGGGGTTTTGGGTTTTTTTTTGCCTCCAGGGTTTGGGGTTTAGGGTTTAGGGTTTGGGGTGTAGGGTTTAGGGGTTTAGGGTTTCGGGTTTAGGGTTTCGGGTTTAGGTTTTAGGGTTTCAGCACTCGCACTCGGACATGCCTGGGCGAGGTTCCTGGTACGACGAACGCACATTGGCGGCAACACGGGTTTAGGGTTTAGGGTTTAGGGTTTAGGGGTACCGTAAGCGGCAAAAAGGCAGGGTTGATTTGTAGGCCTTAATCCACCGAGAGAGGCGTAGGGGGTGGATAATATAATCCTAGCGAAAACTGTTGACCATTTTGCTGGACTACTATGTTCCCATATTATTGAACCCACGATATGGCTTAACTACTACATATACTGCATTTCTTTGGTTACTAGATGACGATACAACAAGTGGCGCCTCCTCCGGGTCGATGATCTGCCCCGGCAAGTCGAGGGCGGGCAGCCTGGGAGCTTCTGGTGTTGGAGATTTTGGTTTTAGGGTTTAGGGGTTAGGGTTTAGGGTTTAGGGATTTCGGGTTTAGGGGTATAGGGTTTAGGGTTTAGGCTTTAGGGGTTAGGGTTTAGGGTCTAGGGTTTAGGGGTTTCGGGTTTAGGGGTTTCGGGTTTCGGGTTTAGGGTTTAGGGTGTGGGCTTTAGGGTTTAGGGCTTCTTGAGCCACGAAAACACTCACCATCATCATCATCATCATCATCGTCATGATCCCAAACATCACCATCATCATCATCATCAGAATGCTGATAACAATCGAAGTAATGCGAAGAATAAGAGCAGTAGCAGCAACAATGAAGACTATATTTTTCCATCGGGTTCCAACTGTCGGGAAACAAACTTAGAGCTAAGCCAGAGAAAAACACACTGCCAGTGCTGTTCCTGCCAACATCCATCTGGTGAAGAACTGGGATGGAATGGGCTGAAGAGAACGCTGTCCTGCCCTTGAAGTCGCAGGTTGCAAGGTTAAGCCAGCATCCATCACCCCTCCTGCACAACCTCAACGGCCTAAGGATTCTGTTCGTGGATCCTACCAGGCAGACGACGGAGACCTCGACGGGGAGGCAGGAACTGCAACGAGAAACGTTGGACCCTGATTGCATCGCTCCATGGGCGACGTGGGCTCGCAGATGCAGCCAAGGCTCTGCAGCGATGAGGAATTGCCGGTGGACTTCAACGCCGTTGATAAACTAACCTCCTTGCGGCAACGAGGCATGTGGCGGGAAGATGGGGGAAAGGGCAGCAAGGTTCGCGGTGTGGCAGGCGACACGATGACCACTCCATCAAAGATAAGACTTTGAGCCTCAGAGCTAGTTACACTGATACGTGTCTTTCTGGAAGATAGGAACCCATTGAGGCAGTTTCTGGTCTGCTGACACTTATCAAGTTCGGAATCCAGCTTCCTATCATCTGTTATTAGCTGCTGAAGCATGCCCGGGGCGCAGGAGTATGCACCTTATGATTGAACCCTTTAAGGGGACTCTGATATAGAACCCTGTAGTATTGCTAATAAGGGGACCCTATTAAAGAACCCTACAGTACCCTTTAAGAGGATCCTATGCTGGAACTCCAAACCCTAAACCGTGAACCCTGAACCCTGAACCCGCAAGCCACTGGTCGTCCTCCTTCTCTTCAAGAGTGGGAGGTGCGAAGTTGGGCTCGGAGCCTTGGGGTGTCTCTTCGCGTTTAGGGTTTAGGGTTTAGGGTGTTTTTGGTTGTTGAAGCCTCTTTTCCACCTGCCTGTTAAGTTAGGTCGCAGGCCAAAGATGGCTGAGGCCCACTTGGCTGCATACCACCCATAACAGTAAACCCCCGGCGTTGTGAGTAAGTCGTGCCTGCACGGAGCGGCTTAGGGCTCTTAGAGTGTAGGGTTTAGGGGCTTCGGGGTTAAAGGAGCATGACAGCTAAGCAAACAAGGGGTTTGGTCGAAGAACTCTCGGTTCACAAAGGGTCTACATTTGCCGGCTTCTCTTAAGCCTCGCGGGGCTTGTCATGTTAAAACAGAACAGGCGGCAATTGAAACTCCAAGCTGCAGGGCACGCTATACCCCTTCAGAGCTTCCAACGTCAACGGAATCAGCCACCGAACCCCTGGGCTCAGCAGCATCTATGGAGAGCTGAAAGGATTGCACCCGGTTACTTGAAACATGCTGGCCCCTTTCATAGATGACGCACGAAAATGTGACGCGACGAGCTCATGCTTCTACCCGAGGCAGAACCCCAAACCCTTGAACTTAAAAAGCCCTTAAGTTCATCACAGCACGAGTACATGGCGCGGGCTCCACGTCCTTCGGCTCACGACTTTCTTGCCCCCCCTAAGAATCCCGAAAAAAAAATCCTAACTCCAGAAATCCCCGAAACCCGAAGCCCCAAAACGATTGCCCTGAACATCCCCCTCAAACATCCCCTTCTAAGGGTCCCTTCAGAGATCCCCCCTTTACAGATCCCTGAAGATCCCGAGTTGAGCCCCGAAACGCCTTAAAGATCACCCCTGAAGATCCGGGAAGATCCCTCAGAAGCACCGAGACACGCGTGGGCCCCATGGCCGGGAGAGGAGGCTCGACGATGGGCGCCAGCTCCTTCAATTTCGACCGCAGCCTCGGTTTTGGGGGTTTAGGGGTTAGGGTTTAGGGTTTAGGGTTTAGGGTTTAGGGTTTCGGGGTTTAGGGGGGTTTTTTCCATCCCACCTAGCTAGGACGAGGCTTAGGGGGTTTGAAGTTTAGGGGTTTAGCGGTTTTCAGCACTCACACTCGGACTTGCATGGCCGCTAAGACCGGCAGATTGGCCACTCAGCAAGTAGCGACGGAACATGCAGGACATCAGCACACACAACACTGGCGCTACTTCTCACATGCACGTCATCTCACCCCGAACTCAGTCACTCATGTGACCGTTCCCAATGTTGCCCGACGTTTCGGCGCTTGGGGTTTAGGGGTTTTGGTGGTTTTGGGCCTTGGTTTGAAAGACGGAGCATCAAGGAGTTTTGTCCGGATGCGGGGGCGGGAGGGTGGGGTGCAGACTTCGGTGTTGACGGCCAGCCATGCGCCCTACCCCCGGCGGGTGGCTCTGTTACCAGCGACTGGTGCCTGAGCTCCATGTCAAGCTGTATCCTCTTGCCTCGGCAGGAAAGGGTTCTACAAGAAGTTCTACAAGGATTCGATGATATAATATATAATTTATAACATATTATATAGAATATATAATATAGAATATAACATATATCATATAAGGGTTCAGGGTTTCTGCTCTCACACTCGGACACTGCAGGCGAGGCTTGTGGTCGTAAGTCAGCATGGTGAAACGAGTTGAAAGAGAAAGCTTGGACAATACACGGACCCTAAGTAGCACAGAACCTGCTAAAACAAATGTCCCATGCTTTCAACGCCCGACGTCCTGCATATACGATTCGGGGTTTACGCTCTCACAACTCGGACACACGTTCGGGGTTCAGGGTTTTGGGACTTTCGCAGTTCAGACACCTCAGCTTCGCAGGGCAAACACTTTCAGCGTCCTATGCCATACATAGTGCCCAGCAAACGGCAAAATGCGGAATTGCTCTAGTTTCTGCTCAAGAACAGGGCCCTTCCTATCACCTTCGTGAGCATGGGCGAGGAGTTGCCATCAGAAGAGGGTTCAAGGGGATCAGTGCAGTCTTCACACGCACCCCAGGCTTGGCTTGCTCTGCAGGGAGACCAAGCGCCGCCGTAAAGGTTGAACATAAAGCACCACGATAAGCCCAAGCACCAGATACCCCAGGAAGTACATGCAATACACTCATTCCGCTACCTGCGACACTGCATCTGTGAAAGAGGGGTGCTTCGCACCTGACCAGCCCATCATCAGCAAACACGACAGGTCAAATTCGCATGAGTCAATGCGGAAGCCGTCTTCTTGGCATGCAGTGACACAGAAATATCACCAGCACCAAGCCGACAAGGCTTCGGGATGCTTTAAATCCTCGGACCGTAGATCCTCTCTAACCCGAACTCCGTCCCGGCGCCCCTTGCTCGAATCCTCTCCGTCCAAGGTTCGTTCGGACAATAACTGTTCTTCGAGCCATTTCGCAACCGGTGCCTGCCCAAGCTGAGGGAGGTGGGGGACAGCGTGGAGGCTGGGTTTCCGCGGCGGCTTGCCCTAAGAAGTCTTTGGAGTCTCTGCCGGGGGGGAGGGGGGTGCCGTAGATTCCTAGGGCGGGCACAATCTGAACCGGCTCTTGTCCTGGATGCAAACTTGCGGTTGACGGATGCTTCTTGCCTAGGCCGTGGGGGTTGGGAAGCAAAGAACCAGGAAAAAAATCCCCAGCCTCGCCCTTTGGAGCTGAAGGCCCGAAAGAAGTAAGCCTTGGCGTTCGAAGTGAGACTGCCTTGCAGCTTCCACAATAAAATGATATGTATATATATATACATACATATACATATATATATATATATATGCATACACACGCACAGAGTATTGCAGTTGCGCTTGTGTATTGCCGCTCTGAATACCGGGTGACAGTACTACCACGATGACATGGCGAGGAAAAGGAGGGGTGCTGCAGCAAATGGCCACCAAATCCAAGCCCACAATCGGACGCCCAGGGGCGAATCTGAGCTTCCAGATCGCAGAATCCCAACCATGGCCTGAGCTCCTGAAAACAAAGGTTTTTAGGCCGAGGGGTTTGGGAATTACGCTCTCGCAACTCACTACCAAACAAGGGTTTGGGGTTTGGAGGGCTTAGTGACTAGGGAAGCTTCGGCGCTCACGCTCCGACGAGTATGTTTCTGCCGTTTCTGTGCTCACACTTAGGGTCTGTTTGATCTTTGTGGCTTCGGCTTCTGGGTCCTTGGAAGCCCGGGACCTGAACCGAATTTCGAGGCCTCCTTTGATAGAGGAACCCCTTGGAATAATCTTGAAAAAAATTCAGGCGCCTATACTAGGGCAGCTGGGATCTTGCAGTGACCGGTTCGGCTAGCCTGGCCTAGCCACTACCCTCATAACCATCCTGATGCTAAACATGAGTTTAAGTTTGTGGAGCTTTCAACAGTTTATGCTTCTCACGCACTGTTACTGCCACCATTTACGACGGCTACTGTGGATACTACAATTACTATGATTACTAGAGTTACTACGACCACTACAATCTCTACCACTGCCATTACGACTATTGCTGTGATTGTGCTTATACTGCTACTGCGATTGCTGTTATTACTGGTTACTAGTATTGCTATTATTGCCACTGGTGCTACCATTCCTACTATTGCTATTACTACTATTATTACAATCATTACTCATTACTATTGTTGCTATCGTTGCTGTTGCCGCTATTGCTGCTGTCGTTGCTCTGGTTGCAGCCCTAAACCCTCCCAGACTCTGCACCCTTTTGCATCCAGGCCTATTGCGACTGCCGGGTACCCTGAAGAAAAAGGCCAGGCAAAGCTGCAGCATCATTGACTGCAACACTCACCCAATCACACCCTAAAACCCTGAACCCTAAACCCTAAACCCTCGATCCCCAGCGGGACTCTCCTTGAGCCTCGCGTGGAGCTGCCCGGGTCGGCGAGTCGGCGAAGGTCCACGGCCCCACAGCTAACCGTAGCAATAGCAAACAATAGTAATTACAGCAATAATAGCAACTCAGATAATAGTAAACAATAGTAATAATGGCTAATAATGATAAGTCAAACTAGCGAAGTATTGCAACCGGGCTAGTGCTAGGACTGCTCCAACTATAGCTTCCGATGGAGGATGGCCCTGGGAAGACTAAGAAGTCGACTGCCTTCTGCCGAACCAGCGGCTGCAGACATCCCGTCCCAGGTTCTACCATGCACTTGCCGTTTCTCCGTACAGTGGTTTTTTCATGGAAGACTCTGGCTTAGCTCTACATCAGCGGCTAGCCCCGGCCCTCAGCTTGAGAGATCTTGAAAGATTTCCAAATCTCCCTCTCTCTTGTCTCGCTCCCTCTCTCACATGTGAAGCCCCTCTCTCGCGCTCTCTGTCTCTGTCTCTGTCTCTCTCGCTCGCTCGATCTTTCTCTCGCAGAGTCGGGTAGCCAGCCTTTTCCCATTTCAGGACAATTCTGGCTCGAAGCCGGACTGAAAATCAGCGACTTCTTAATGTCGGCCCAAACCGAAGAAGTGAATCGCGCAAGCTCCGCAGGGCTTGCTTCCGAAAAAGCTGCAAATCCCAGAAAGAAAAACCTTGGCTTTCGGCCTAGTTCTGTGTTCGGCGGAGCTTCCGGGATAATGGTCCAAAGTGCTTCTGATTTTCGCTGTCTCTTCTGGGGCATAGGCGCGGCTTACAGGACAAAACCTTAAAGGCCTTGTTTTCAATTCGAGTTCTCAGCCGGGATGCTCTAGGAATTGAGTGTCGACGGGTTCTGACACAGGCAGTTGCCCAGATGTCAACCCTAGTCAGCTCCTCCTCGTGCGAAAGCAGTTATGGCACACAGGCACCGAAAGGAGCTATACCCGCTCCCCAAAAAGCCCACTGGGATCGCAGCGCAGTTGAAGTAAGCTTGCCAGATGGCCGCATTGTTTGCTTCTTTGATGCATGGGAAGACCTGTCCATGGCCAAAAATCAACTCAAGCCTTTCTGCCCGACCCATGAGGTCATTAGGACATCAGATACGCGAACAGCCGTCGTTTCCGTCCCCATACGCGCAGGCCCATTGCATGCAAGTACGTGTGTACTATGTACGACTAGGCATATGGACTCATGCATGTACAATCATGTACGTATGTACGTGCGCACATGCAAAGCACGAGCGCGCATGCATGCCACACACTCACACACACCCACATGCAGACGCAAAACAGACATACATGTCCATAGATGTTCATACTATATCGCCCTATGAACATATACAGACACGGATACACTGCAAGCTCAGCAGCCAGATACAGCCACACTTCTTCATGGCCTAACAGGAACATGTCCTTGTATTCATTGCATCTATCCGGAAACTTGCAGCCGGGCCTGAATCTGCCCCTTGCAGTGGAACTTGAGGTTGCGAAGCGCATTCAAGATTTCCCGCCTCGGCCAGTCTGCTTTGCTGACCCCCAAGTTCGTTTAGGGGGTTTAAGGGTCTTGGGTTTAGGGTCTAGGCTAGAAAGCCAAGCCCTCCGATCTCAGGATTGACATATCCCCGTAACTTGCCCAGAGCCAGGAGATGCGCTGAGGCTTCACCGGCCGATTTTGAGCCTCGGCCTTCTGATTCGACCCCGCTTGAGACTTCAGAGTTTAAGAGTTCCCCCATTCTTTGGCCATGGGATGCTTTCGGGCTTAGCCTCAGGCTTCATGCGAACGTAGAATAAACGGCAAGCATGAGCTCTCAAAGGCTGGCTCGATAGCGGGACATCCTCGTTCGAACTCGCCTATACTCGGAACTGCCCAGTAAATCCAAAAACCCTGCATTGCAAGCTCCACTGTTACTCAAACTTGTGAGCTTTTTCCCTGCAGCATCGAGTCTTTTCCATCGGTGCCCACTCTCCTCGGCACACGCGCGGGGATATCCACGGAAACCTCCACAACCGGCCAGAAGGGCTTTGGCTTCGTTCGACGGTCGATAACTGTAGACTCTCTTCAGACTATCCCTAGCTTCTTGAACCGTCGCCAACTTGGAAGTGTTCGTCTGCCTTCTGACCCCTGGCAAGCACCCATCTAGCCCTAAGCCTAAGACCCTAAGAATCCGCTTGACTTCGATCGCCTCGCCGGAAACGCACGGCGAGTGGAAGAAGCTCGAAAGCCAGGGCTCGCTCCTGCAAGAGGCAGGAGCAGGTCCGCCGAGTACTGCGGCTTGGAGCTTACACGATATTTTCGGGCCTCCTACGTCACAAGGGCAAGCCCACGCTACTGGGTGTTCATGGTCGGTTGGTTTTTAATTTTTGCGAGCTTTAGGGCTTAAGTTTTCAACGCTGGCAACCCGGACACTCCAGCGAGGAATGCAGCGACCAAGAGCCCGTCCAGCTACACAGCTGCACTCAACGGCTACGCAATGGCACAATCAACAAAACACACCTGTTCGCCCTCCGAAGACTAGCCGCTATACTCCCGTGGCTCTCCCTCTGCGACGAAAGGCACCGACTACATCCACAGCACGACGACGACCACGGACGGCAACCATATCTGCCAGAACAGCTGTCATCAGCACCACCGTCCTGGAAGTGACGGTCGTAATTGCTTCTGCTTTTTACTTGCTACGACGCACCGCCCTTCAACTCGAAACCATCCGACCACGGCAACCTGCTCCGCCGCACCGGCACGCGAAGCGACCACCTCCCGGCTTGGCTGGCCTTGGGCCGAAGGATTGACAACTTCAAGCTTCGGCATCTTCATCTTTTCAATGCAAACTCAAGGGAGGCCGGGTATGCTGCCTGAGTTCCTTGGGCCCTTGCCTTGGGCAGACTTTGGATCTTCAGCTTTCCGTAGCAGGGGTGGCCACGAGGTTGGAATGGCAGGTTTTGAGGCGTAGGGTGATGGATCTGTCTGCTCAATCTTTCCTGCTGCCTGCAAGGGTTATGGAGCCTATGACAGAGACATGCACGGGGGCAATCGTAGAAACTCACCCGACTCTTACCCACATCCGGGCCATGCCAAGTCTCGGATAAGGACGCCCGCAGCATCTCGCATCGCTTGGGTGCTCAGTGCCATGCAGGTGGGTGCTGGCGCGCCTTTGCAGAAGCGAGATGATCCCGACAGTGCTTCAGTGGTCGTGGTACTCTGGTACTTGGGATGACTCGCAGCCTGCCACCTGTGCAGCCGCTGACAGGAGGGCGGCTCCAAGCAGTCCAGTTGCCTGCCGTCTTGGTTCAGGGCATGTGGACAAAGTATAACGACCCTGACTTCGTGGAGGTCACTACTGCACAATTGCAAAATGCTGACACTGCTTGACTGCGGCGAGAAACTCAAGGATCCCGGATAGCACCCCCTGGAAATACCGGAAATCTGCCAACCCTTGCAAGCACAGATACATCTAAGACTTACTGTAGCAAGGTTAAAATTTTAAGTCATACATGCCTTAATGGGGCTCTGAGAAACTATGAGGGTACTTACTTGACCTACACCCTGGCGCACCTCTCGGAATGCCAGCGCCTGTTGCCAGCGCATTGCCTCTCATGTTCAATTAGGCTTCAAAGGCCCAGGGTCTAATCAGCACTACAGGAGCTAGGGCTTTTTGGAGGTGATTGTTTTAAAGCACCTGAATTAAGCTGAAAGGGGCAACTGTTGGAATCGGCCACAAGCAAAACACATGAAAGCCCAAGTGCAGTCGGTTCTGACACAGTCACGCACGACCTATCAAAGCCCCCGGTAACGTCTCACGACACGCGCCGGCAGCAGTCACCATTACAGGTGTGTTCAAAACTCTCCACTCAAGTCCACAACTATCTCCAAAGCTTCTGCCCACCGCAATGAAACCATGGTGCATGTCTATGTGTGCGACAGATTTAAGGAACCCGTTGCATCTGGTCGCCTCGGAAGTCCTGCTAAGGGTTTCTTGGGCGTGACCCGGGCAGAAAAACCGCAGTGGGGGCACTCTGCTACACGCTGCCAGCAGCGCCGTGCAGCTGATGGCATCGCGGCCGACCGAGCCTGCAAGCAACGCAAGATCCTTTGAACACCCAAGAGCGCTCCGGCCATGCCCCGGCCCCCATGGGTAAAGATGCCATACCTCGCTACACAGCAGACTCCGGTCCTTAGAGCCCGAAGGCATGACTCAACACATAACCTACCAAAAACTGCCTCCAATACGGAAGGGCCGAAACTCCCCGATCTCACGACCGAGGCACCGTGAACGAGGCCCAGCACCAGCTCCCACTTGCTGGCCTGCCAGGGACCGGAAACCCACGTCCGAATGTGCGGATTCCTTTCTCAGACTGAGGGGCTGTATCCAAGATCCCAGGAAAGTGAGTCTTTGGGCAGCCGGTTCCGAAAGGTCACTACTATTTGGGCAGTTCCTCATTGTGAGTATAGTATAGTATAGTATCGTACCTACATGAGTAGCTCTCTTATGAGGGTCCCTGTTTGGAGTCCTTCTCCAGCGAGCTGCAGGCGCTGTTCAACCCCACGATGCCGCAGCGGCCTGTTCGACTCCCGGCCTCGGTGGAGGAGCTTCGCCCCCTGAATTCAAAGGTCTCTTGCCGCGAAGTTTTCGGGATCTGGGCTTTTACGGCACTTTGGGACTTTAGCTTTTTTGTAGGTTTCGGGGGCCGACTCTCCGAACCCTCTATTTTTTGCATCCAGGCCACCCTTCTTATAGAAACACAACAATCCCCTTGCAAACCAACAAAAGAAGCTGTGGATCTCCCAGCAACGCCGAGTGGCGTGGAACAGGTGCATGGCCTGCCACCACCGTGACGAAGTCTCCAGGGCACCTCGGAAATTTCTGGACGCGTCCCACGCACGTGGCATGTTGTATCCGCTCGGGGAGGCAGCGCAGTCGATTCGCGATATGGTTTACCCTGACGGTTTGATGACTTGAGCTGCTGAAAGCCAGAGGGGTGGTTTGGCAAGTTTGGCAAGGCTTCCACACAGCTCATCACCACCATCATCATCATCATCATCGTTACCACTTCTGATCCTCGTCATCACGACAACTATCACCATCACAACCTCGACCCACATCACGATCTTCATCATAATTATCACCCGTGTTCTCATTAGCATCCTAGCGGCTTCCCTTCCCACTATCATCAAAGAGCATAGCGGCCAACACCACCACAAGAAGCGTTGTCTCGATATTTACAAGTTGTGTTGCCATAATCAATGCGCCCGTCACGGACATCAGCACCTCCGTGTCGCCAGCACCACCAGCACCACAATCCCCAGGCATCATCGGCGTCGCCGTCAACGCCTCTGGTGAATCATCATCTTCTTCATCCAGGCTGCAAGTCTTTCTACTGCGATCTTCTCACCTTCATCAGGCCTTCGGGTCTCGGGCTGTGCATAGCCGGGGCACCCAGAATGGCATGGTAGGTGCCCTCCATGGCCATACTCATCCTCCCAGGGATGCCAGGGCTGAAGCTTGAGAATGCCGAATCCTGATCCTAGAGATGTGGAATCGTGCTAGCGCTCGGGCTTGCCACATGCCTCCACCCGTTGACGAATATAGAGGGGATGCTACGTCTTTAACAGTCTTGAGCACGGCATCTGTGTCCCACACTCGAACGAGCAGTGATGTTCAGGCATACAAATCCGCTCAAGCTCGGCTTGCCAGCACAGGCTTCCAGTCAAGACACGAGCAAAGCAAAAAGCAGGAGGCTGCAGTAGTTTGGCAGACCCAGGAACGAGCCTCGGAGAGGCCAGCAAAAGCGCAAGCCGCCACTGCCCGGCCAGGGCACCCAGCACAGCATTGAGCGCCCTCAGGTCAGCACGCTTTGACTGAGGGTTTTGGTGTTTCCTGTTTCGGGATGATCAACAATGGCTGTCACTGTTTCCGCTTTTGTCAGAAGTCTCTTTAGGTACTGCTACGTTGTCCTCAAGGACAGAACGTTGATTTGTGCCACCTATTTACGAATCGAGCGACCAACCAAAACGCGACGACGAACACGACTGCTCAGCACCACTCACGACGACGACGACGACTACTACTACTACTGCTCCTCCTCCTCCTGCTGCTGCTCCTTCAGGGAGGTGACACATCACGTTCGACGACTGCTGCTACTACTTCATTCTACTGTTACTACTGCATTGCCTACCTTGGCCTCGACCTCTACTTCTGCTTTTACTTCTACTTCTACCGGTGCTTCACTCTACGACTTTTGCGGCTTCTTCTTCGACTGCTACTGCTCTACGCACTAAGTACCCGTCTAGGCACACGACATCGTCAGCGCCCTTGGCCGCGAGCTCTGCGAACAGGGCCAGCGCGGCAGGCCATCGCCGGCCCCTCTCGCAGGCCTTCAGCTCCAAATGTTGGAGATGTGGGAGTAAAATGCGGCAACCGCAGCAAAACGTAAACATGAAAGCGCGAAAACAACAGCGAGGCTATAGCAGTAGCAAGCTAGCAGCAAGGGCAACAGCAGCAGATACAAGGGATTACTATGCACGGCGGCAAGAGCAGCAGCATCAGACCTAGCAAGGGAAACACAAGCAAACACAGCAACACAAAGACCGCAACAACATCGATTTAGGCATGCGAGTCCTGCCACGTAAATCAGCGGTGAGTCCTCTGCCTTGTCTCCGCATCCCAGCCCTAGGCATACATTTGTACATAAACAAAAGATTCATAGACAAAAAGACACCGCCTGCACAGGCTGGTGCGCACCTGAACTCTCACCACTACTCTAAGCGGAACCCATGTCCCTCGAACCCATTTTCGGAGTATCAAGGCCCCGCGGATTAACGTCAAGACTCAGCTTGAAGAAAACGCTTATATAGGGCTGGGCCTGCACAAATCGCATTCAGAATTTTGGATCTGGAGAAGATGTTCGAGGACTTGATGAGGGGGTCACTTGACGGGTCCCTGGAAAATGCTCGGCTCTAACTCTGTGAGGTAATTCCTAATACTCATTTTTCCGACCCCTATGTTACACACCATCTGCAGCCATGTGGGCCGTGATGCCGGCCGTCAAGCTGCGAGCGTCCGGCCGGATCCGGGTGCTGCGGACCTGCGCAAGGCAGTGAGGCATGGCCCTCCCTCCCTCCTCCCTTCCTGCCTCCCTCCCTGCCTCCCTTCCCTCCCTCCTGCCTCCTGCCTTCCCTCCCTCCTTGCACACCCGCGCCAAGGCGCCCCCCTCCCTAAATGTTACATCAGGGAAGAGGCTGTTCGCTCCTGCGGCTTGTCTGTGCCAGAGAGGTCGGCTGCTGCAGGACCCCCCAAAACCCTGAACATAGGCAGTGTCCTTAGCCCCTGCAGCACTCCCTCCCCCTTGTTGGATGCCAGCCCGCCCATTATACGGCAAGCTTTAACTGGGGGGTGTCAGCTATTAGGAGCCCAACTTCTCGGAAGCAACACTGGAACAAGTAGACTTGCAGGTCACGAAGACAGGTGGATCTCCCCCTTCTTAACACACACACACACACACACACCCACCCCCTCTCTCTCTCTCTCTCTCTCTCTCTCTCTTGCTTGCTCCAGGCTTACAGTGAGAGCACCGCTCCTACCTCCACCCGCATTCTCTGTGTCTCTCTCCTTCCCTACCGTTGCATCCAAAGGATTATCATCTGCCCACTTTATGTCGGCATCCACGACCTTATCCGTTTCAACCTCGTCCACTTCCACATCACTCTCATCGTCATTACCACCACCATCAACATGACTTTATCTTCAGCTATCTTCAACCCATCAGCAGACTAATCATAATGGCAATCGTGAACAGGAAAAGTCTCAAGGCTATTATGACAAAACACAATTTAAATATTACAGGCCTGACAGGCATAATTATTCCAGCGTCCAGATTATCAAATCTGGAATACTTCCAGAATTCCAGATTTGCGCGGCATAATAATTCCAGATTTCCAGAATTCCAGATTTGTGAGGCCAAATCTGGAATTCTGGAATAGTTCGGCCACGCATACCTGGAACTCTGGAATTATTCCAATGGTCACAAAATCTTACCCGTCAGAGTTTGAGCGCCGCTGTTGTAGCCTTCGAATGTAGGTATGATAGACCATATTACTTAATCCGCTCGCCCTGCGCAGTGCAAACCCTCGTATATGTCTGCATCCTTTCGGCAGCTGCACTTCTGAAAAACATTCAAGACAATCCCTGCTACCATCCTGAATGAACCTCAACTATAGTTGTGCATCTATAGCCGCAAGAACTAACCAGATATCTATGCACTTCGAATTCCCGAGTACCGAGTTGCACACATCGTGCCGGCCATCACCCTCCATGTACCTGGTCCTAATAACTAGTAGAAAAATCCACATACATGTGCATTCGCAATGTGTGCAACTAGATATCCATGCACTTTGCCCGGGTAGATGCAGGCTAGTGTCTTCGTCCTAGGGGCTAGAAGCCAAAGTAGTCATGCACAAATCCTCCTACATATCTGCATAGCATTGACCCGCCCGTGTTGCTTGGGCAGTTTTTACTCCACAAGGGAATATTACTGTCACTATGACCCCGACTAGCACGTTCCATGTATTTCCCACGAAAGCCCATTCGAGGATTCGGTCTGTCCAGTTCTTTGGCACATTCCATTGGAGGGTATGTGGGACTCCAAAACCGCCTATGGCACTGTGGCGGTGGCACGGTTTTGGGACGAGGAACTGACATTTCCGGGCAAATGCATGTTCACATGAGCGCTACTTAAAACTTAAAACGTGCAATCATCCTCCGTGTTCCGTTCAGTATTGCCCACATGCATCTATATCCCAACCAACTATCCACACATTTGGCGAGCTCGAATGATGTTGTTTATGAAACATACAGTAACATACATGTTTCACCATAAGTCCTGGACCGGCGCTGACTTCTTATCTGCTCCCAGTACTCCCCACAACGCGTATGTGCAGGCTTTCGCGGTCTTCGCCATCGGGGTTAGAAGCCTCAATAAGCTCGTAAAATGTTCACAAGCCTGCATTACTTGGGGACCTCCACTCCAAAAGGGACCGCCGGTTTCAATATGACCTTCAGAACCACGTTCCATGCCGAGACGGCCCCACCGTAATCCACAGTGAGTAGCATTGCTCATTTCCAAATGGTGAAGCTGCGGCAACGAATGAGTACCCTTGCATACCTCTCTGTAGTTTGAAATCTGATAGCTGTTGACGTCTTGAATATGCGCCGATTCTGAAGCTGCGACAAGAGATGGGTAATTACCCTTGAATACGCCAGTAAACTCTGGCACTTATCATGTGTATAAAGACATGCCCTACCTCCGGTTAAGCCTTACAAACTTTTGAAAACTGAGCATTGTTGACATCTTGAGTATGCGCCGGGTATTGAAGGTTCTTCAAAGTGAGCGCATCCGTATGTGCGCATGTTGGCCGTCGATGTCGCGGGATCTTGAGTCCAGAAGGAAGCCTGTATACATGCCACATGTATACAAAGGGCACGACTATAGAGAATGAGATGGTGGTGGTTGCTTGTAAAAAGCACGAATATTGGTAAGAGTTTCAAGTTAAGCGACGGTTCTAACACAATTCGGGTCAACCAGAGCAGTCAGGTCCGTCAGGTTCCTGGGGTGTTGTTTGCACTCGTGTTGCTTGAAATCTTACAGCCTGTAAAAGTTAAACGGGGCTGTGGCGGGCGTGGGTTTTTTGCAGGGGGGTAGCATAAGCATATCTATCTATCTATCCATCTATCTATCTATCTCTATCTATCTATCTATCTATCTATCTATCTATCTATATATATGTAGTATATATATATATAGAGACACACACACACACATACACACCAGGCCTCGGCAAGGAGTCTGAGGGAGAGCTGCCACTGCAGCATGCGGGAGCACGCGGCCATGGTCGTTGCGGCGGCCTTCTCCATGGCCTCGCCTCTAATATCAATAGGGTTTAGGGTTTAGGGTTTAGGGCTTAGGGCTTAGGGTTTAGGGCTTAGGGCTTAGGGGTTACGCTCTCACGACTCGGACATGCCAGGCGAGGTTCTTGGTGCGAAGTCGGCGTGAAACAGGAATCAGGAACCACTAAGATCCATTACCCAGCCCAAGACCAGGGCTTAGGGTTTAGGGTTTAGGGTTCAGTGGTACGAGTACCAATAGTAGTACTACTGTTGATATAAATCCTGCATTACCTGTAAGGACTCTAAATTGTGGGAATTATGGCATATTCCTGGTTTCTGGGTAATGCAGGATTTGTATCATCAACTGTAGTACTGAGACTAATGCTAACACTGATACTACTTGGAGCTGATACTGATACCAATTTTGGTACTATAGCACTAATACGAATGCCAATTGAACGTATACTACGTTACTACGTACTGCTCATACCAAGTGGGCTTGGGTGTGGGCTTCTTCGTTCAACTCTTCGAAGGCCCTGCCGCTGAAGGTCGGCCTCCGTCAGCAAAAATCTGCAGCCTCAAGGCTTGCATGGGCAGGTCAGGAGCCTTTGTGCTTGGATGCAAGTCTTGGAGGAGATCTAGAGAACCACGAAGATCTGTCTTGCTTAATGTTCAACAAATGTGTCCTGGCATAGCTCGTTGGCTCGTCCATAGCAGCTGACATCTTCACGCACCACATGTTCAAAGACGGAGGATAACCGTCCCAGAGATTCATCCGGAGACTATACCTCCAAGCACGGACGGAAATCGGGTGGCAAGTGCAGGGCTACCTTTTGTCTTAGCTTTCTTCCACTGCTTCCTGCATACGGAAGGCCTTTGTTTGAGCCGGAGATCCTTGGAGTTCATGCCTGGTTGGACCTCTGGTTCCACCGTAAGCACCCGAGCCCATGAAGACCCCTCTGGATAGCACTCTAAATTGGGATCCCTTTTTTGGGTCCCCAATATAGTAGTAGTAGTACCCTTATAAGAAGGACCCTAAAAGGTACCCTATTTTAGAGAACTACCCTCTTATAGTACCCCTTATAGATCCCTTTGAGGAATCCCTATAGAAACCCGTATAGGTCCCTTTCGGTGAACCCCCGAAAAAGGGACCCCTAATTTAGAGAACTACCCCTCTGCTTGTTTCGGGAGCCGGGAAGCGCAGCCCCCCAGGCGCTGCCGCGCTCGCAGGCGCTGAGCAAGGCCAGGCGAGAGGGTGGCAGCCTTCCTGGCCAAAGTTTGGGGTTGAGGGTTTCGGGTTTTACGTTTAGGGTTTAGGGCTTAGGGTTTAGGGTTTAGGGTTTCGGGTTTCGGGTTTAGGGTCTAGGGCTTAGGTTTAGGGTTTAGGTTTAGGCAAAAGTTTAGGGTTTCAGCACTCACAACTGGGACAAGCCTGACGAGGTTCCTGGTACGACGAAAGCGTAGGGTTTCGACTCTCACACTCGCACCCGGC